CCTCGCGTGGACACGGGTGCCGTGGGGGGGGAGACGTGGGAACGAGCGGGCCCCCCCGGAGCGCCTCTTGCCGGCCGGGCCTGGCCTGGCCTTCTCTCCATCCCTCCGTCCCTTCTCAGCTCCGCCTTCCTTCCTTCCTTCCTTCCTTCTCCTTCGTCCTGGCTGGCCTTGGGAAGGGCGGCCCAGTCCCTGCGCGGCCGCTCGTGGCCCGGCAGGTGGGGATCGGGGCTGGTCGGAGGAGGAGCAGCAGCCCCGGCCCTCTTCCTTCCTTGCACATCGTCAGGCAGCTTTTGCTTGGGGGGCGACAAAGCCTTCGTGGCTCTTCTGAGAAAGCCCGAAACGGGTGGTGGTGGGGGGAAGGAATCACCTTCGCTTCTGAAATGGCAACCCATGGAGAGGGATATTTCTGTTTGTGCAAACTCAGGGGGAGCTTCCGGGAGTTGGGTCAGCTTTTATCCCTTCAAGGTTTGGGGTAGAAGTGGCCAGTTGGTGCCCTGACAGCCTTGCTCAGGGGCAGAGGCCAGGATCATCCTCCCTAAACCCCATTTCCTTCTTTTGCTTATTTGTTCACCCCGAGTCTCAATTTGCTCATCTCTGACTTCTTTTTGCTAGTTGTTTTGTTCTCCATAAACTTATAAACGACTCTCCTTTACCTTGCCAGAGATAGGAAACCACTTCAAGCTACTGAGTTATCTTATGTTGTTTACCCTTCCGCTCTTGGTGGCGAATGGTTATGGTACTTGCATTAAATTTCCTGCTACAGGGAGGCCGTTTAGTTTGCTGTAACTGGATATGTTTGCAGCACCTCTTTCCAGCCTAGTACAGGCCTATCACATTCATGGCATGTTAAATATTTCTGATAAATATTTAGGTGGTTCCTGGTAAGTCATCGCTAAGGAGATGGCCTGTATCCAGTAGTTGATGGCTGCGAAGGCTTACTATTTATCTCAGGATGTATGACTGTCCACTTTATGAGCCACTGTCTGAACGGAATCCCTCTGGGTTACTTTATTCCAGAACATGGCTGTTAACGTGTACTCCACTTCGGTGACCAGCGATAACTTGAGTCGACATGATATGCTTGCCTGGATCAATGAGTCGTTAGGGTTGAACCTGACCAAGATAGAGCAGCTTTGCTCAGGTAAGAACTAGCGGGTGAGAGGAGAGGAAATGCTGCTTGGGATTTTCAAGACATGTTCTTTGAGTAATCAGGTGGGAATGCTTAAATGCCTTCTACTTGAATCGTTCTTCACGTTGGAGGTTTAACCGTAAGGCTCCATTAGCAGATGTGAAGAAAAATCTTAATGCCTTCATCTGCAGGATGCAACACAATTTATTTGCTTGAGCTATGTGGTGGTGGTGATGTGTTTGTTAAGCCTTGAACCCTTTGCTTATGATACTATCTGGTAGAAATATTTTTGGGTGGAAGTCTGAAGGCAAGTAGGAAGAAATCAGGCACTACTCATGGCATTGGATTCCTCTCACATGTAATTTCTGATATATAATAATGGTGATGCTGTCTGGTAAAGTTCCAGGGAGCCTTGCCGTGTAAGTGCTCCTCCAAGCCTCTTCTCTGGAGAGCTTGTAGGCTGGACCTTGCACAGCTGCACACTTGACTCCTAATGTATACCAGCAGCACACTTAGAAGAGAGAGTTATCTGCTTTGCACAAGAAGAAACTTGTGGCAAACATGATATTGGTCCCTGTGGAAGGCTGCAGACGTTACTAAGCTGTACTGATTTGTGATCTCTGCGCTGCAGCTAAGCCTCAGTGGGCATACATCCATAGTGATATGAGCAAATATTGTGTTTTTGTGAGGCTGAATTGCTTCTTGGCTTTCAAAAAGGATGATGTTGTTTAAAGTATAGTACAAATTAGGACCAAACACCGGGAGGCAGTGGAAGACAGGAGGGCGTGGCGTGCTCTGGTCCATGGGGTCATGAAGAGTTGGACACGACTTAATGACTAAACAGCAACAACAAATTAGGAAAGCAAATGAACAGTAAGGATAAACCTAGTAGGGAGAAATAGCTTACTTGAAAGCATCACAGTTATTACATTGGAAGTGAAATGTACATGTAGGAATCAAAAGCTGTGGGTTAGCACCAGATTGTTAAAAAAGTGGGGTGCTTGGCATATCACATGTCTTGGATCCTTTTCTTTGAAAAAGATGGGATATATATATATATAATGAGAAATAAAATGTGCTGATAGGATTGAGGGATATATTTCATGCACGTAGGGAGAGCACGATTGTTCTCATATCTGCATGGATATTTGGCAGATACAATACTGGTATCAGAACATAGAGATACTGATGCTGGTTGCAAATACGTTGTTGTTAAGTGCCATCTAGTCCCTTCCGAGTCATGGCAACCCTCGGAATGAGCAATCTCCATATGTCCTTCCTAAACTGCCCTGATTAGCTCTCGGAAACTCAAAACCAGTGGCTTCCTTGAGGAAGTCAATCCATATCGTATTTGGTCTCCCACTTTTCCTGCTGCTTTCCACCTTTCCCAGCATTATTGTCTTTTCCAGAGAATCCTGCCTTCTCATGATGTGTCCAAAGTAGGACAGCCTCAGTTTCAACGTATTTGCCCCGAGAGATAGTTGAGGCTTGATTTGATCTAGGACACACTTGTTTGTCATTCTGGCAATCCAGGTCATCCAGAAAGCTTTCCTCCAGCACGAGATTTCAGAGGAATCAATTTTTTCCCCCATCAGCTTTCTTTACTGTTCAGTTCTCACCCCCCTGCATGGTGATCAGGATTATAAGAATGTGGATGATCTTGGTGTCCAGTGACACATCCTTACAAGTATGGCTTAGTTAAAATCAGTAGGATGAATAGACAGTGAGCAGGAGCTTGACAGCAACAAAATAAACCTGTGAAAATATTTATTGTTAACTGGTGACTCTTTAGTAATGAATTGAAGGACACAGGAGGAGAGGAGCCCAGCTGTGTCATACAGTAATCTTACAGAGTTTTCTAGAAATCCTTAGAAATGGCTTGTCTCTTATCCTTCGATTTCCCAGGAGAATTAGTTTTTGAAATACTGTTCCTGAGAGTTATATTGTCCTGCTCCCAGTCTTTGTCTGAAGCAAATCACTCAACTGTAGCAACGTGTTGTTACTACCTGAATTCTGTACATAAACACAACTCTTAAAGTCCGTAGCAATGGGTGGCATGGTGAGGGAAGGGTGAAATTCTGCAGGCCTTCATAAAATGAGAATGCAGAGTGGAATCCTGAAGAACACAGTACCTCGCTGTGGCCAAATCAAGGGTGTCAGCAGTTCAAGCAAATATTTTTCATTTAATTTTGTTTGTTTTAGTGCAAGAAATATTCCCAGTAGAGTGTGCCTAATGTGCACAAGTGCTGAACATATCATTGTTCAGGGGTTTTAAGACACTTTCTCATTTTTCTAAAAAGGACAATGTTTTTTTCTGTTGGGTTGCTTTGATTTTCATTTCAATCTGATTTTAAGTATGAGGAGATGCCAGTAGCAGCCCTGGCATAGTGAATGCTAATAGTCGCTATAGTTGAATATCAGCTGTTCACATGTCTCTCCAATGGGGAGAACATGCTGCCAAACCTCAGTCAGTTCTAGGCTGGGTATAGCAATGGTGAAATGAACAGTATAATGACCACTAATAAGATTGACTCAATTTTATTAACCCTGGAGTGGAGGCTGTGGGATTGAAGCCTGTGCTGAGTTCCAGAAGCTGGAGAAAAGGGGTAGATTTGGGGATTGAACATATGGTTATGAATATGCATAAGGGATACAGTCTGTGGGACCATTATAGAAGATGCTTTACTACATTGCAGACTGCCATAGTGTGGGGACATTAAAATCTGACTGAAGCTATTGTGAAAGTGGTAGGAATTCTATTAAAGAATCCAAGGGTTTCAAAAGTATTCTTGTCATAGTTACATACTGTTGGTAAAGGATTTATTATCACAAGAATATTTTATCTTTTTTTGTTTTTTGACAGGTGCTGCTTATTGTCAGTTTATGGACATGCTCTTTCCTGGTTCTGTAACGCTCAAGAAAGTGAAATTCCAAGCAAAGTTGGAACATGAATACATTCAAAATTTCAAGGTTCTACAAGCAGGTTTTAAGAGGATGGGTGTGGATAAAGTAAGCATTGTAGCATATGAACACATGTTTTTTGATGTCATCCGTTAACAGAATGCTGTCTTTCTAGGGAAACTGATCTAGAACCTACCTTGTTTTCAGCATGGTTTGGCCCGGATGCTCCTTTGCCCTAAACTGATTCTGAGTTTAGGGCAAATTTGGGGTGTTCTCAGCCATTCTCAGGTAGAATTTGGGCTTTCAGTTTCCCAATTAAAAAGAAGATAGATCTTGAGATCTATCAGTTTTGTTTGATCTGAAGAGGTGGAAAACCATCTTTGCCAAACAGTTTCCGCTTTTCTCAGCTACTTTTTCCAGCTAATCCAGAAAATATGTAAATATAAAGGAATTAAATGAAACTAGTGAGTATCAGATCACTGGAATGTGCCCAGGCCCTTATCGGGAGGAAGGTGATGTATAAATAAAACAAACAGGTGTGGTTGGATTAGATTTCTTAGGAATGTATATATGTCAGGAAGAAGAATTTGGGGCATGACAGCTTTGAGTGGAAGTGTGTTGGAAGGGGGGCCCACTTCACTGATTCCTTCTGGCTGCTGTGGGGGGGGGCAGAACATCTCCCTGGGTTCAAAAAGGAGTGCAGATGCTGTTTGCTCCCCGCAGGGTGGGAGGGCCGTGGGAGGACGGAGCCTTCTGCGCTGTGGCCCCTGTCCCCCCGCTTTCCTTGTCTGATCAGAATTCCCCCTGAGCTTCCTTTTCCCTTCCCCCTGTCGAGCGGAGAGAAGAGGAAGAAGAGAGGCTGGGAGAGCAGAAAGACTGAGGGTAGGAACAGAGTGGGATGTAAAACAGGATTCAGAATTGATTTGATTGAAAGTCCTAAGCTGGGCCTCGGGGAAAGACCAATTTAGATTGCAAAATTATTATGTTTGTAGCCTTTTAATACTTTGCTTGCAGAACATATTGTACTAGGTTCTCGGTTGTGATAATTTTTTCGTCCTGAAGACATGTCTGTGTGTCAGCATGTGTGAGGTGGGGGGTTCATTGACAGATTGCAGCTGTGAAGTTGTGCTGAAGGGAAAGTTTCCCATAAGTCTTCTAATGTCTTTTTAAATGCTAAACAGATTTCTGATAGTGATTTGCATAATATAAAATAGCAGCTCTGGGGGAGTTGACAGTTTGTGGAAACGGAGGTCTGGTCAGTTAGCTATCCTTAGTGCCACAGCATTGATCATAATTGTTTTTCCCTCCCAATCTGTGAAAACTGTCAGGAGGGCTTAATTACAGTTTCCCAAAAGGTGCTTATTTGGCTCAGTGAGTTAGGTATCCGGCTGTAGAGCCAGACATCGGGAGTTGGATCCCCCGTTGTGCCTCCAGTGCAGCTCCCTTTGGGCAAACTGCATGGTGGGTCCCAGGGCATCCCCAGAAGAGGGGCCTGATTCACCACACCCGAGTGTTCTCTGCCTGGAAAACGCTGAAAAGGATGGTCATAAGTCAAAATCAGCTAGATGGCATGCAGTTCTTATTAACATTTTGTCATGCTTTGCTTGACCTTGTGCCGTTTTTAGTGCCGGTCATTGCGAAGGTTAATTCAGTTGTTCTTTTGGCAACAATGACTTTCCTATGCTTTCAGCATCTGTGTAAAAGCTGCTGGAGGCATCTATTTGGGGCTTTGGTTGAGAAATGGAATCTTAGTTTGGTTCCCTTGCTGTGCTGTTCCTTTAGTGGGTTATTGATTGTGCTCTAGAGCTTGTTGCACCTTCTCTCGTGCTGTGAGACTTCAGCCTATCTCTGCCTGTTGCTCTTTGGCTCAGATTAATGAAGGAGCTTCTTTCTGAACTTGAGCTAAAGAATCTTGTGCTGGTCTCAAAAATAACATTTGTGTGAAATATTCCTCGAGAATCCCTGTCTGCTTTAGACTAAATGTGTTCAATCTTTCTCTTCAGATAATTCCTGTGGACAAACTAGTGAAAGGAAAATTCCAAGATAACTTTGAATTTGTTCAGTGGTTCAAAAAATTCTTTGATGCGAACTATGATGGGAAGGACTATGACCCCGTGGCAGCTCGGCAAGGCCAGGAGACAGTGCCAGCACCTCCTCTGGTCGTACCCATGCTGAATAAACCTAAGAAAAACCTTGGTTCTGGTGGCACAGGTAAAGCAAACACTTGTCAGATTAACCAGACTAGCTTTGTGTTTTGGATTGCTCGTGGTTGGATATTTCAGTCCTGCATAGTGTAGTGAACATAGTGGGCGCGCCGGTTGTTTTTATCAGATGCCAGTTGTAAGGAGAGGGGTGGGGACAATTTATCTCACAAATATCCTTTAATCTAAGAGGCAAACATGACTGGAAGATCAGTTGCCACGGAGTGTGCCCTTTCTTAGCCTTCTCTCAGCATCTGTGCTTGTGCAGGGTGCTCAGATATCTGCTCATTCTGTTGCACCTGTGCATGTCTGGATCCATGTAGAAATCATAGGCCGCTGTTCAGACTTGTTGTTTCCTGTGTTTCACAAGGGTTGCAGTTTGTAAAGAGGAAATGAAACAACCCCATATTTTTGAGCTTGCCCTTTAATTCTGCTCCATCTGTTAAGACACTGGGGGGGTAGAGCCCAACATGTGTGTTTGTGGTCCGGTCTTGGGGCCCCATGCTCCTATTATGGAAATTGCCTCAGACCAGTTTGTAATGGGCAGAAATTCGTTTCTTTTGTAGATCACAGTTTTGTAGGCGCTTCAGAGCTGAAGGATGCACGAGCAGACGCTACTACGTCCCTAAATAGAACTGCTGTGATTGGTACTATAAGTGCCTTGCGAGGAAAAGGCATTCTTGAATGTTTCTTGTTGGCTCTAAGGGTGCTTTTCTCCTTGCACATATGGGACTCCTCACTCTGCGCACAGCTCACTGGGTTTGGCTGACATGCACGGGGTTTGTGAACATCATTGGTTTAGACTGCCGCTAACACACTTCATGTTGCAGCTCCGGCGAGGCCAATGGTTGCGCAGAGGACAGCGGTGGCTAATAAAACCGGACCGGGCATGGTTAAAAAGGCTCCTGCAGGAATTGGAGAGGATGAGTCTGCTGAATTGATCCAGCAGGTGGGTTTCATGCCAGTGCTGCTGATGTGGAGGAATTAGTGCCATTTGTGCTCCCCATTTCTCTTGTCTTGTGGTGTCATAAAATAAATTTACAATGGTTGTTAAATGTTAGAGCCTTCTATGTTAGAAGCTTCCATGCTGATCGTGCCTTACTCTGAAAGCAATCACTCTTTAGACAGCTTTCTGTAGAACAGTCTGCATTTGTCCACTGTAGGCCTAACAGGTTTTAAGGAAAGTGTATTCTAGGTATTCCACTTAAATTGTGCTTGCCCAAAAAAAGGCTGGGCTGGAAGGCTTCGGAAAGACCAAGTTCTGGCCTCGTTGCCTGTTAGAAAAGGAGGTTGCCCCTAGTGCTTCCTGGGCGCCTCCAGAATGGAGAATTTTGGGATTTGGCATCTACCCCACTCCCCAGATACAACAAACGTCCAAGGCCTGTGTGTTTCAGCAGTAGCAGCTACTGTACTCCGTTTTCTCTTAGCAAGTAGAGCAGAACTGCACCGTTCGGTGCCTTGCATGGTTTCTCTATATAGAGCTGAGGTCCACTGGTACATGGCTGGGCCATGGTATAGTCGCTCAACTACCCCATGGGTTGAGCTGAAGCACATCTTCTCCATTACACACTCTTAGTGGATGTCGTTGAAGAATGCAGTACTACTGAAAAGTGTCTGCCTTTATTACCAGTAAAAGAACAAAGCTTGTCAAAGTTAGGGCCTGGGCCATCAAAGAGTCCTGTCCTGGGGATTTATATCCCTTTGGAGAGCACCCTGAAGAGGAAAGGTGGCTTGCTTTGTTGGAAGGGTGCTTTTTTTACCCTTCTAGTATTGCAGCCCCTGCTCGGATGGGGGTGGGTGCTGGAGGTCACCGGAAGACCTGTGCAAAAGTCTGTTGATTTTGGTAATTAGCTGCAGTGAACAATAGTTTACCTGGTATATACTTCACCTCTTTACACTTCGCTTGGGCATGTACTGGTGGTGGGAGTAGAATAGTAATTATTTTATTTCATTAGTTTATTTACCACCCCATTAGTGCAGCACAGTATTTCGGGTGGTTAACATTAAAATAAAATATAACCTGGCAACAATAAGGGTTATCAATAAAACCAAGAGGCTATAAATAGTCAATCTTGCTTCTTGGCTGTCTGATCTTTCTCCTGCCCCCTCACTTTGTAATATTGATTCAGTAGAGGATTTATTGGCTTGAGATCTTTACTGTTTAGTGTTCATTCTTTGTGTCTTCATTTGGGCACCACTTGCCAGCTTTACGGTTCTGCAGGCAGAGAAGGTCTGGCTCCTTCTGGTCTCTAGTTAAGACTTTCCTAGATGGTGCGTAATCATTTTTAAAATTGCAATTCATGTTTCATATGGATATCTCTTTGGAAGGAGGGGTTAGAATTGTTCTTCTGAACAAGCTCCCCACCCCCACCGCCATACTGAGATGGAGAGACAGTTTTAATTCTGAAATTCCTCATTAAGTGTATGGGCCAAAATTGGGAACAAAGCAGCTTTGACGGAAACCTGACCTTAATGCTGTCTGCTTTTTATTAACAGCACTGTATATGAATTGGTGCTTGGAGGTAGACCCTCCTAAGTGCAGTGGGGTTTACTCTGGGGTGAATGAGTGTGTTGGGTTGTTGCTGTGTTGGTGGTGCAAGGGTCTTCCTGAGAAAAAAACCCCTGAAAGGATAACAATGGGCTCTTCTTTGCCAGATCAATGTGTTAAAAATGACTGTTGAAGATTTGGAGAAGGAAAGAGACTTCTACTTTGGGAAGCTGCGGAACATTGAGCTGATTTGCCAGGAGAACGAAGGCGAGAGTGACCCCGTCCTCCAAAGGATCGTCGAGATTCTTTATGCCACGGATGTAAGTCCTGATAACAAGCCGACCTGCACCAGCTTCTCGCCCAGATTTTCTAGGTGATGCTTGGGCACTGCTCTCTGCCCCTTCCCCAGAGCCCCACTTGGAGGGAGGAGCAGTTGCGTCATAGCACGCAGGTTCTCGTCACAGGTTTGTTTCGTCTTGGTGGGTTGAGGTGGTCACGGTTCCTGATGGTTTGGCTAGTGGTTTCCTGGCAAACAAGAGTTGTCAGCCTTCAGAAGCAGATAACATTTTTGCCTGTGAGTAGAGAATGATGATGATGATGATGAAGAGGTTGTCAGCCTTCAGAAGCAGATAACATTTCTGCCTGCGAGTAGAGGATGATGATGATGATGAAGAGCCACTGAATAATCCTTTCTGTGAAATGATGGTTTGAAAAGAGATCTGCTTTTACAGCTTTTTGCCACCTCTTTTGCGTGAATGCCCACTCACCCTTATGGTTTTTAATTTCTGCTTGAAGGCTGTTCTCTTGCTGGTTTCTGACACAGTGAACTGGAATGCTGCAGTGCCCTTGAGGAGGATGTTATCCTATGCATCTTCTAACGCTCATTTTACGTTGCCATTCATAACATTTATGCATCAACCAGATGGTCCTCAAAATTACTTCCAACAGACATCCAGACACAGGCCCCTGAGCTGGGTGAAGTGGTTTGGAATTCTTGAGTCCTGTTGTTTCTTAGGTGCTTTATAATGTTTTTATTTTTAACTATGTATTGCTAGTTTCTTGTGTGCCATTCTGGCAGAAAGGCAGGATGTAAATTTAATGAGCATTAGAAATAATTTGCATAACATGCTGTTATATACTAAGCATAGCTGTCAGTAAACCAAGGCTGTTACAGTGGACCCTCGACTTACGGCATTAATCCGTATTGGAATGGTGGCTGCAGGCTGAAAAGTCTGTAGGTCGTGGCTCCATTGACCTACAATGCATTGAGAACTGATTAATCTGTAACCGGCCGTTTTTGTTCCATTTTGGTTTTTTTTCCAGTCTGTAGGTCAATTCTCTGGCTGCAAGTCGAACCTAAATTTTGTGGCCAGAGAAGTCTGTAACTCGAAAAGTCTGTAAGTGGAGCCGTCTGTAAGTTGAGGGTCCACTGTACACTTTTGGCATATAATGACGAGACAAAAATCACAGGAAAAGACAGTAATTCTGGGAAAAGTTGAATACAGTAGAGAAAGAGAAAGACTGAAATTAACTCCAAAGCAAGCCACAGTATGTTTTGTTCCTAGGAAGTTCAGTTCTAGCAATCTTCTTGGAACAATACAAATTGGCTTAAGTCCATTTACTAATTCCATTAAGAGTTGATCCACCGAATCAGCTGCTGAATCGCAAATCAGTTCATGCATAGTCCAGATCTGTTCTAGTTTGGACTAGTAATTATAGTCGGGCCATTTGTATCTTCATTCATTTTCTGTGTGCTAAAATGTAGACATCTTTGCAGATGGGAAGCTGTGGCCAGAATCCTCTTGGTACTATGTGATGTGTGCAGTGTTGGTGGCTGGCCTTGTGTGTTTCGGTGTGGCTGGGTTGTGTAGTCACTTGAGTTTGACAAATGGCTAGCAAAACGTAAAAACAGTTGCCCGTACCCTTGTGGTATTTTTGGAGTGGTAACATGCAAACTATGCTTGAAGTTCTTTTTGCTTTCAACCAAGACCTGTGAAGGTTTCACCTCCCATTTCCCCCTGTCCAGTGGTGTTTGGATTTTATGTGGTTCCTCTTCTTGACAACTTTGACAACGGGCAACTTTCAGTCAACACATTTGTGGTTCTTGCCAAACAGATTTTAACGTATTGCCTTTGGAAGGAATTTCCATGCAGCGTAGTTGGATCGTTGGATGTGACGGCTCAGTGGAGCCTTTAGACGCTGCTCGACAACCATTCTTTTTCTGGTTATGTTGATACTGCAAGCACAGCTTTTAATAGAAGCCCTCCAATGATGCCATCTTAGAGTTTGACAAGTTACTCAACAGTCTCTCTCTCTCTCTCTCATTGTCCTTTTAGGAAGGTTTTGTCATACCAGATGAAGGAGCACCTCCAGAGGAGCAAGAGGAGTATTAATGGTTCACCAACTGTACCAGCAGAGGAGCAGCAGCAGAGTCAGAATTCCGAAATCAGAATTCTTTGCCCCAATCATGTGCTTATCTGTACAATACTCCATTTTATTCTTAGAGGACTCACTGGTTTCTTTTCATAAGTAAAAAAAAGTACCTCTTCAAGTGCACTTTGCGTAAGTTTTACTACTTTCCCCCTTCCATTGGGTTTTATTTGAGAGCTCTTTTCTTCCTCTTGCCACAGAGCAGTATTAACATCTTGGTGTCATTTGGGAGCAAGAGGTTGAATATGTGGAGTTTGCGATGTTGTTTTGTTGCTGGTGAGGCACAGGTTAGTGGAGAGTTTGCTGTACGTACCTTGTTGGGGGGCGTCTGGGAAGGGAGTGTGTAGTGGAGCTATTTCAGGTTTGACTTTTCTGCCGGAAGGATGAGCAGATGTGAAATGTGTTCTGCAATTAAAGCGATGCCTTAAAGGGGGCTTAAAATGTGCTTCCAGATGCCAAATTAGAAGTCATGTAGTGGGAGATGTTTCGTGCTCTGAAGCAGGGTTAGGAGCGTCTGGCTTTCTTGTTTTGGAAGGAATTGCTTGGCCCCTCCACTCATTGAGGGCTCTGAAGGAAGCTGTTAAAAAGCCTGATAGCTATGTAAGCCTGCCTGCTTGGCCATTAGCTTTCATAGGGGGAAAGGCCTTGTTCTCTGGGGCAAGGCCACTGCGAGTATGACTCGCTCTCGGTCTTCTTGTACTGGGCAAAAGCAGGTACTATCTTCCAAAGCAATGAGGCTATCACTTGGAAATTCTTCACCCAAATCACTGCTTGCATCTCGCCACCCCCACCCCAGCCTCCTCTTGCCTTTCTCTCTTTGATCCATTGACTTTTGTGGGTCCTTCTGTCCTCCTCTGCACCCCTTCTTTCCCTTCCTCTCCCAAGCCTGCTAGCTAAACTCTGGTGGATATCTGCTGGTTTGTTTGTTCACAGCGCTACCCTGGGAGTCCAGCCCTCGTCTCCAGGCTGTGTCCCCATTGTGTGTCCTTCTAGAGTTAGCCTTCCACACTTAGCCTTTGCCGGTGCTCTTTGACCTGTGAATGACATGGATCGGTATGCCAAGGTTGCAGAAGATGCCCTTGCTCCTATGGATTTTGGTTATGACAGTATTCCATGCTTGACCCTCTCCCTCTTGTGGGGAGCCAACCCCTCACTTCCCCCCCCATCTGATTGCTGCTCTTTGGGAGGGCCTCCCCGAGATGCTGCCCACAGCCACAGCGACGATTAAGCCTCTGAGATTGGTGTGCTCTTGTTTGTTTGCTTCCGGTGGTTATGTGTCCTTAGTGTGTGTAGAAAGCAAAGCATTTTATGGTTACTGTTGTGTAGTGCATGAATCCCTATGAAAGTTCAGAGGAAGACCCACGTTTCGACAAACGCCAAAAAAAGCAAGCCATTATTTAAAACATCAGAGGTGCTATTTCTCTTGTGGCCTTCTACAGCCTTGTTGCCCTAAACCATATTTCACCCAGACTCCTCTTGACAGGGTTTTTTTCTACTTTTAAACAGTTTCTAAATAAAGTTCTGTTATTTCAAGATTCCTCTGTGCTGGAGTGTCATGTTCTTATGCAGTTGGTTCTTTGCTTCGCTCCAGAGGTCCCATTTTCTCCACGATGGAAGTTTCATTGACAGGGTTCCTTGCTTTCAGGCACATCTGGTGCCTATCATGGAAAAGAACATCTTGCAGATGAAGTCCGTCATGGCCTTCCTGATCTCTCTTGCTAGTAGCAGGGGTTGGGTCACTGCAGTGTCAGCTATGACTCAGTGTGCTCACTTTGCACCCTGGAAACACTTGAGTTACCTGGCCACTTGCACACACACCTGCATGTGGGTGTATGTGCGCACTGCCAGTGTCTTTCAGAAGAAGTTTTATATGAAGGTGGCTAATGGTTGTGCTGCCTTTCCACACCTTAACATTTGAATGCCTGCGGAGCTCAGGGAAATGGGGAACACCTATATGGTAGAACAGCAACTTTGAGTAACAGATTCCCCAAATTATTTCAGTTCTAGAGAACAATGGATGAAGAACCACTCTAGTCACAATTATTCTCTATTGGTTCATTCGCTGGAGTTTTTAAAGTGTGAATAAAATCCACTTCCTATTTGGCTTGATGAAAATTCATGACCTCTCAGTTTATGGAACTACTGTCTCCTTTTGCATATGGAAGAAAATACATTGTCAGTTCTGTGGGAAGTTCTGAGGCCGGGGGGGCTTCACTGGATGCGTATGGGGAGACAATCTTTTGTGTGTTATTTTCTTGTCGCCCACTGAAAAGAGAGGTGGGTGGGTCAATTCCCCGTCAATCAAAAAAGGGCTGCTGATGTTGCACCAGAACAGAATAGAAACTAGCCTGGCAACGGAAGCAGTTCCACTTGTCAATATTTCACTTTCTTGATCGGGGAAACTGGGTTGAAGAGCCAAGACTGTCCTGTGTGTTGTTTTGAGAAATAATGTACAACCTTTGTTTCTTCGTTGGATGAGGAACAAAGAACCATTCTCCTCCCATAGCAGATAATATCCGGACCTCATACAATACCTCCTGTGAAGCACTGTCTTGCTGAAAGGCTACTTTAAATTGAAAATAAAAATGCTAGCAGCCTTTCTTCATCGCAACTCTTTTTTTAGATACCTGGAAGGCAAAAAATTAAACAATCGAAAACAAGAAGTGAGTACTTTTTAATACCCCACAAGGGTCTCTTTTGCAAGTGGGCTTATAGGAAATCTTTCCTTAACTCTGCTATTCAGTTTTGTCTACCTTCTGACTTGCAATGATGTTTCTTACTGTAACTGTCTGAAGACTAAAATTAAAAAGAAAAAAATCAACCATTTCCACTAAATCTTGTCTCTGCAGCATTGTGATTTCTCTGCCTTGGTGGTGACTTGTATAGCACTTGTCGTGTTCAAAGCCGTTTAGAGACTCGCCCCATAGACCTTGGAAACGATGGTGACTTCTCCTGCAGTGCGGTTCAGAAGGAGGGGGAATGGAGATTGTTAGGGTGTGGGGTGATCTCTCCCTCCGAGGTTCATAGCTGAGCTGCAGCTCACCATGCCGTGAAGGTGGCAGCCAGCCCGTGAGCCTTTGCAATTGTCCTAACTTGAATTTCAGGGGCAAGGTGTTTGCATAATTATGTAGTGAATGACCCAGAGACTGTACCAAGTGTCATAATGTAAGTGAAAAACAAACATACAAACAAAACACCCAAATGAAGGTAACTATAATGGTTGCCCCTGTGTTCTCCATCCCACTCTTCTGCTGAGCTGCTTCAGGGCCATGATACCTAGCAGCTCCAAAAGAAGCTCTACAAGGCGACAGTCCACCAGCTATGTTCTCTGTCCCACCCCATAAATGGATACTGGGAACTGGGGAAAAAAACTTGTGTGCTTCATGCCAGTTCCCTCCCCCACCCCCCGCTTGATCTAGAAACACTGCACACAGGTGGTTGATCCTGGGTTTCCGTCATGGGTCAGAGGCCTTTTTCGTTGTCTTCTGCAACATTTCTTCACTTAAGACATGGCCGCATCAACACTGGACTGAACTGTCTTGGTCATCCCCTCTTTGTGGTGTGACCTCCATGTTGTAGTGCACTGGGTCTGTAAAAGAGCATAGAACTTGTAGTCTTTTAAAGTTGTCACTGGCTTGACTCCAAAAAAGCAACAGCAGCGATAGGCGTCCTTGGTTGGAGGCTAGCCGTTTTGCCTTGCCTTTTACAGTATCTCTTTTGAGCATGTGGAACCTCATAAAGAAGGATCGCAGAAGGAATGGTGGAAGGGGTCCAGTTGAAGCAGATGACTGGCAAGTGGGTTGGCAGAGCAAAGATTGAGAATGTTAACCAATGTATGTTATTGCGTGTCAGAATGAGGGACTGGTGAAAGGAGAAGCGGGATCACAGAACTGGACCAGAATCTACCCCCCCGCCACCCCCCCCAAGCATTCCTTGGAGAGCATGTTTGAGGCTGACCTACTGCATCTTTGCTTGAAAAAAGGGGCCATGGTTTACTGGGATCCTGAAAGAGTTAGGGTCCACTGCGTCCAGCTGTACTCTGGCACTGTGAAAATGCCCACCAGCATTGGTAATGGGGTCATGCCATGGCGCAGGCATGCAAGCCGCTTGCCCAAGAAGGCATCCAGTGCTTCCTTGAATGCCATTGTGAAATGCATGATCTCTTCAGCGTGTGTCTGTTGGAGAAATGTAATGCCCAGTCGGGGACAGGCCGAGGTGTCGTTTAGCTCATGGTGTGCATTGCCCGTTGCCGTAGCAATGTGTGCCAGGACTGGTTGGAGTGGTAGAGAGAATGGAATTGAATATCTGTGGTCTTGTGGGAGATTAAAATTTCGATGAGGCATGAGAATAGGAAGCCCAAGGAGTTCATGCTTCTTAAAGTCTCCCCACCAAAACCGCCAGCTCAAGGAACTGACCCTATTGGTGTCCACATTTTCTGTGGACGTTATGAAGTTCACTGTTTCTTAGACAAAACTTTGTCCTATCCCCTTCTGCTACCATCCTACTCTCGAGCTGCCTTCACGAAAATTGTTCAGATCACAGCTCCCAGCACTTGGGAGATATTGCCCAAAAATACACGTCCCATGTTCTGTCCTTTTCGAGACTATTTCTGTCCAAATGTTGAGTATTTTTTATTAGCTGTTGCCATGTAAGAACCTCCGTGTCCAGAATCAAAGTAGGCATGGTGCTGTCCAGTCTCCGATGGGGAAGGAAAGAGAAGAGGAAGCATTGCTTCTCTGGACTGCCCTTCTCTGCCCTGAAGCCCCTCTGCTCATTGGATATTGAATTCCCCCTCCCTGAATCCCATTCCAAGCAGGCGGCTGCTGTTGCCCAGGGGAGGCCCAAATCGCTTCACAGCCCTCACATTCCTTTGGGGAGGCTCCTTCCGCGGCAGGCGGCTGCTGTTGCCCAGGGGAGGCCCGAAGCGGTTCACAGCCATTACATTCCTTTGGGGAGCCTCCTTCCGCGGTCT